ATAAAAACGTTAACTAATGACAAAGTGTGGAAAAGGAGAGAAAAGAAAGACATAAAGCATAATGGAAGTCATCTCTTATTCCAAGGGGGAGAATATCTAAATTCTGTTTAAACACTAAATCTTGAAATCAGTTGCTATATTCTGATATAATGTAAGTTTAAATTTTTAAAATTCTAAATTGATGTAGACATTTACCACATTCAGGGATTGGAAAACTTAGTCATAAAGATGAAAATTCATGAAAATCAATTCAGAGATTCAAAAGATCCAATACATCTCAAGCAGGAAAAAAAAAAAAAGGAATTAATACCAAGATACATCAGAGTGAAACTGCAGCAAACACAAAAAAGTGGAAAATCTCATGAGCAACCAGAGAAAAGAGACAGATTACCTACAGAGGAATGACCACCTCACAGCCAACTCTTCAATGACAAAAATAAGGGAGGTCAGAAAACAATGCAATTAAATTTCCAATTTGCTGAAAGAAATAACTACTAATATAAAATGATATACTTAAAAGATGTAACTTTCAAGAAAGAAGACAAGATAAAAACATTTTGAGACAAACACAGTCTTCACTAAGGGAAATCCTAAACTATATTTTCTCAGGCATAAAGAAAATCATAGCAGATGAAAGGACTAAGAATGCCAGAAGGAAAGAGGAGCAACGAGTGTGGTAAGCGTATTAACAAATCTAAATGAACATTGACTTTGTAAAACAATAAGGTCTTGTGAGTCTTAATTATGTAGAATTAAAAGAAAAACAATAGAATCAATGAAACCAACAAAATTGGCAAACATTTAACTACCCTGACCAAGAAAAAAAAAGAAAAAGACAACTAAAATCAGAAATGAAAGTGGAGGCTCCAGCCGAGTGGCGCGTTGGTTAGGAGTTGGCTTGGGACGCCAGCTCTGAGCAGCAGGGCCCCGGTTTGGATCCCACCTGAGGGCCAGTGACGCTGCGTCCTCTACAGCTAACATGGTGAACAACAGAATGGGAGAAGTCATACACACCATACGTATTTTTTTGTGAAGAATAACAAAATAAATCGAAGAAAAAACTAAATACCTTCTTTGCCACATTACAAAAAATTTCACCGATGATAAACAAATCTTAATAATAATTAGACAAACTGCCATCAGTGGGAAGGGGAGGAGCCAGTGGTGCAGCGTGTGCAGCGCGCCCTCTGGTGGTGGGTGCTATGTACATCGTCCTCCAAAATAACGCCTCAAGTTTACAGAGGGGGCCCCAGAAACTGTGCAGCTGTACATAATCTGAACCATGTAAAATTTTAAGTAGCTATTTTAAAACTTATATCTGTGAGAAACATATATCCATTAATGGCTCACCGCATGTCTGTAGTTCATTTGTGACACCCCGCTGTGCCTCATTTCACTGGCTGGTATTTCTGTTATAAGCAGTGAAAATGAATTAAAGCTACATCAACAGTGTGGATAATTCTCAGCAGCATAACATTGATTTTAAAAAGCAAGTCACACGGTTCTGAGAATGGAAGATGGTTCAACCACTGTGAAAAGTTTGGCAGTTTCTTTAAAAAACCAAACGTTAACTTACCATCCACCCCTCAGCAGGCTCCTGGGCATTTATCCCAGGAAATGAAAGCCACATCCAGATGAACACCTGCACACACATGCAGCTTTACTTTTAATAGCCAAGCTATTTTTAAATTAATAAGAATGTCGTGTGTCAAAAACTACAGATATGGGGCCGGCCGAGTGGCGCGATGGTTAAGAGCTGGTTTGGGACGCCAGAGGGCCCCGGTTCGGATCCCACATATGAGGGCCAGTGACACTGCCATCCACAGTTAAGATGCTGAACAATAGCTCGACCTGCAGCTGGGCTGCCGTGAGTCGCCGGCGACGGTGTAGGCTGCAGCCCCTGTGGCAGTGGGTTGCCATGGGCTACCGTGTATAGCCAGCAGCCAGCTTGTGTAGCCAGCAGCCAGCGTGAGCGGCTAGCAGCAGCAGTGAGCGGCCGTCCAGAAGCCGCCGACTGATCTGCCTCACTTGGGAAGAGTGCAATGATGGTGCCAACTTGGGCCAGTGAGGCAACGTCCTCCACAACTAGACTGAAGAACAAAAAATGACAGCAACATGTCTGTTCCCCTTCCCCCAATTCCCCAAAAAAAATCTTAAAAAAAAAAAAACTACAGATATAACTAAAACCGTATTTAGGGGAAAATCACGACCATAGCTTTGTTTTCTCCTTTTTTTTTTTTAAGATTTTATTGGGGAATTGGGGGAGGGGAACAGTGTTGGGGAATCAGAGAAGGGGAACAGACAAGTTGCTGTCCTTTTGTTTTTCAGCCTCGTTGTGGAGGATGTGGTTACACTGGCCCATGTTGGTATTATCATTGCCCTCTTCCCGGGTGAGGCAGTCGCTTGTCAGTCATTGGATGGCCGCTCACATCGGCTCATGGCAGCTCATGCCAACTGCCGGCTGCGCACTCTGGCTGCCAGCCACTCACTGTAGCTTACAGCAGCCCACTGCTGTAGGGGCTGCAGCCTATGACGTCGCTGGCGACTCACAGCAGCCTAGCTCCAGGTCGAGCTGTTGGTCACCATCTTAGCTGTGGAGGGCGCAGCATCACTGGCCCTCATGTGGGATCCGAACCGGGGCCCTGCTGCTCAGAGCTGACGTCCCAAGCCAACTCTTAACCAACGCACCACTTGGCCGGCCCCAGGACCACAGCTTTAAGTGTGCTTTCCTTGCTCTTTAATTTAGACACTCGTAACATTACCACTGTTACAAACAAGATGTCTAATATTTTCTCCCAACAAGATACACTCTGCAAGATAAAACCTCTAGAATACTTCCAGTCTGTGTGTGAGAGATTGGTTGAGCGCTCAAAATGTTTCCTCTTTCCCCCATCTTGGGGTCTGGTTTTGGGGCGTTTGCTGTTTGTTTTTTCATCTTTTCTTAGTGTTTTTCTTATATTGGTACCTGCACAGTCTGCTCTGCATCCTTGTACATCCCAGGACCATTCTTTTGCTTGGACATGTGGAGGCCATTTGGACTGGGCAGATGATTTTAAAATATTCAAATTTAGCAAAATATATCACACGTCCAATAAAGTTTACACCAGCCAAACAAAAATATTACACCTTGCAGTTGGCCCTATTTCACTACTACCGATTTTAAACACACAAAAAAAGGCTAGATAGTCATCACAGAATTGAGAGAACTCGAGCCGTTTCTTCCTTGTCACAATCACTGGTATCACTGCTCATCTCAATTTTATTGTTTTAAGGGAAAAATGCGTTATCACAGGGAGAGGGGACTGCCCAGCTTTGCGCTCTGAAAACATCCATGCTGCCCAAGCATGAGGCACTTACCCGCTAAGGACAGCTTGTCATGAGTCTGAACCTGTCAACCATAAAAATAAAGTCCTCCGAATTAACTTCCATGCGGAATACAATGTTTACTAAAAGATAAGTAATAAAAATTGCTAATTTAAAATTGACATATATGTTACTAAAACTCAACAGCAACCACAGTATTGTTTAAAACTTGACCAATGAAAGATTTGGGCAGAGTATTTCACCTCTGACCTTTAGAATTGCTGGGTTCGGGAAGATAATAAAAAGCAGATCAACTTCAGCACACTCTGAGTATCATTTTAAAATCCTCTACAGACGATGCCCCCTTCTGGGCCTCCCCCTTTCAGCCCTGGGAGGCCCCGACCAGTGGCTCCCAGCAATCACCTTGGTTCTCCCTCCAAGGCTGGGGCACTGGGCTCAGAGTTCACTTAGTGAAGGGCAGGAATCCCTAGGAGACCACTGGACAATCCCTCTGGCCCTTTGTCTTCTGGAGCAGGCAGGTGAGTGGCAGAGCTGGGCAGAATGGACCTATTTTAGTTTACTTGACTGTTCTTTTTTTCTAATATTTGTAAGATAAATACTACGTTTATTCATTTAAAATGTTCCTTTATGGGCCGGCAGACTGGCGCGTTGATTAAGAGCTGGCTTGGGACGCCAGCTCTGAGCAGCAGGGCTCCTTTCCGATCCCACAGGAGGACCAGCAACGCTGCGCCCTCTACAGCTAAGACGATGAACAACAGCTCGACCTGGAGCTGGGCTGCTGTGAGTCGCCAGCGACCACGTGGGCTGCAGTAAAGCTACCAAGAGCCATACGCAGCCAGCGTGAGCCGCTGTGAGGGCTGTCCAGTGGCCGGCGACCGATCTGCCTCACCTGGGAAGAGTGCAATGATAATACCAACATGGGCCAGTGAAGCGACGTCCTCCACAACTAGACTGAAGAACAAAAGGACAGCAACTTGTCTGTTCCCCTTCTCCGATTCCCCAATAAAATCTTTAAAAACAAAATAAAACGTTTCTTCATTGATAATGAAGTCATTTAAGGCTGCTTTCCTCTGAGCACAGCGTTAGCTATGTCCTAGAGTGGGGCATGAAGGCATCTACCTTTGCAGTGTTGTATGCATATTTTAAAACCATATTTGAGTTTCTCTTTGATCCAGGAGTTTTTAAGAGAATTTGTTAATTACTAAGTATTTAAGTGTACCATGTTTTTATTTTCTTTTTAAGATTTTATTGGGGAATTGGGGAAGGGTCACAGTGTTGGGGAAAGGGAAACAGCAAAGTTGTTGTCCTTCAATCTTAGTTGTGGAGGGTGCAGCTGGCTCAGTTCCAAGTCCAGTCACCATCTGGCTGCCCATTGGGCAGCAGGTGGCCACTCAGTTCAAGGTGCCCGTGTTCAATCTTAGTTGAGGGTGGGCATAGCCCACCATCCCATGCAGGAGTTGAACCAGTAACCTTGTTGTTAGGAGCAGGTGCTCTCACCAGCTGAGCCATCCTGCCACCTGTTGGCAGCTCAGCTTGGGAGCAGCTCACTGACCCATGTAGGAATCCAACTGATGACCCTGTTGCTCAGAGCTCATGCTCTTAGCCAACTGAGCCACTTGGCAGACACAGTGTTTAATTTCCTAAATATTTTAGTTTACTTAGAATTGTTTTGGGTTATAATTAAATCATGTGTCCTATTACAGCTCTATTCAACTTGTGTGGTATATGTTTATTTTATGCAAATACTCCGTCAGCTTAAATAGATGCAAAGTTCTCTCTCTACACATAACAATGAAATTGAGATCGCTGTTTGTATTATTCCTTTATTCCCACACTTGTTTTTTGTCTACAGATCTGTCCATTTCCGGAATGGGTGTACTGAAGCCTGGGGAAGGGTGAGGTCCGTGGCCAAGTCTGCAAGACGCCTGCCAAGGCCGGACTCCGAGGAGGAGAGGACAGGTGAGCGTTATGCTAGGGGGTGGGGGGCGGAGCCAGGGGGGTGGCCAGTGCGGTTGCCAGGAGGCGGGACCGGGACACAATGGGGTCTGGGAGTTGGGCCGGGTGGGAGCGGGAATTCAGGCACCCCGCGTTACCTTCCCAGCAGGGAGCCACTGCATCAGGTTAGTGCATCAACTTCGGGCCTCCCTCGGGGCACCGGGCCCCCCATGCCGCTCCCTCGCCGCGAATCTTCACTTGATGCTCTTAAAAGATCCCGGCCCCCCAGAACCCGGGGAAATTCTCTTCCCGTAGTGTTGAGTCCAAACTAGGTCGCGCGCGCACCCTTACTGAACTCATTTTGGAGGTAGGGGGACGGGAGAGAGCTTCCAAGCTCCATCCCGGCACCACGGCCCCCCGCCCCCGCCCCCAGAGCCCGGAAAGCTGCCGTTTGTTTTCCTGGCTCCTGGGATACAGGTTGGGCTCCGCCCCCGGAGTCCGGGGTGGAGGGGCCCGGGCCGCCACCTTCTGTCCACAGGTGCTGCCAGCCGTAAGCGCACCCGCGGTACCATGGGCTCGGACGTCTGGGTCGGCCCTTGGCGGCCGCACCGGCCCCGCGGCCCCATCGCAGCGCTCTACGGAGGCCCTGGGCCCAAATACAAGTTGCCCACAAACACTGGTACTGGCGACACGCGCAGGATTGTCCGGGATGGGCGGTGGGCAGGAAGAAGCTGGTGCGGTCTCTGAGGGGACTGGGGTGCTGAACCCAGGGCTGGAGGGGGGAGATCTGTTTGGGGGGTGTGGGGGGCTGTGCCCCGGGAGAAAGCGGCCGGGCCCCGAGGTGATGCTGGGCCGCCCCGCAGGCTACTTCCTACACGACCCGTCGAGGCCCCGCGCCCCCGCCTTCACCTTTGGCGTGCGTCTTCCCACACCTCAGACTTCGTGCGGCCCCGGGCCCAGCCACCTGGTGCCGGCTCGCATGACCGTGCGCGGCCCCGACGGCACCCCCGCCTACTCCATCTCCGGCCGCCCGCGCCACGCAGCGCCCTGCCTCACTCCCGGACCGGGTTAGGACCCCTGGGACCCCGGCCTCCCCAACGCCGAGCCGCCTCCAGGCAGGCCCACCAGAAACCCTACCCTGAGTCCCTAGCCCCCTTCGGGTACTCGAACACTCCAAATTCTGTACCCTCTTATCCGGATGTCCAAAGAACTCCAAGCCCCACCTGGCTTGAACAAATCGTGGCTCGCTGTTCCCCTAGTCTCAAAAGCCCGGCTTCCTCCCCACCGGGCCCCCATCCCGATTCCTGCCAACACCTCTGGTCCGCCCGCCCGCCCGCCCCACAGGCAGGTACTTCCCAGAGCGAGCAGAAAACGCGACGTACCCCAGTGCGCCCCGGCATACCATCGCCTCCCGAAACTGGGGCACCCACGCGGAGCATCAGACCCCAGGTGACCAGAAAGGCCCGTTCCAACTCCCAGGCCTTTGCCACCCCGCACCTGGAGCGGCTCTCCGGGCGCTGGGACTACCCAGCCCTCGCGGAGGCTGGGCGGCTCCGCAAAGACCCAGCCCCAGATCCCACCCCTTGATGGCTCCTTCTCAGGCCCCGGGACCTACACTGTGCCCTCGCTCCTGGGCCCGCGCGTCATCGGCAAAGTCTCCGCCCCAACTTACTCCATCGGCGGCCGCAGCACGGTGGGCAGTTTCTTCGAGGACCTGAGCAAGGTGGGTGTGTGTGTGTGGGGGGGGCTGCCGGGCACAGCGTAGCGAGGGGTCAACCGGACGGACCGCAGAGGGTCAGGAAGCAAGGGGTGGGGGTCAGTGAACAGCACGGAATGGAGGCTGATCTCAGCGCCCCTTCCGCCCTCCCAGACCCCGGGTCCTAGCGCCTACCACGTGGTGAACCCTGCGATCTACAAGTCTCGGGCTCCCCAATTCACCATGCTGGCGCGCACTTCGCTCCCCCAAGACAACACCCTTAATCCCGGGCCAGCAGCCTACAGCGTGGACCAGGTGATCTGGAGTCCAGGGTCAAGGGTTCGGGTAAAGGATCGAAGGTCTGAGATCTGGGACCAAGGTCCCGGGGTCCTGACCCTGTTCGCAGGGCCGCACAGCCGGCTCCGCGAAGTCAACGATGTCTCTTGGGTCCGCAGCACCGACAGCCTCGGGGCTGGAGCTTCGGTACCCGGCACTCGGACTACCTGGCCCGGATCGTGACCGACGTCGATGACTAAGCCGCGGGCTAGCGGGCGGGCGCGCCCTTGAAAATGTTTTCTTAAAGTTTCCGGAGCCAACCGTGTTTCCACATGTTTGTGCGCGCAGCTGGCAGAGGGACTAGGGTGGGTCTCGCGGTTCGGGCGCTCCCGTCAAGTCTGGGAAGTCACGCTCCGCTAAATCTGGGAAGTCACGCGTCCCCGCGGGCCTACATGATTGGCGGGAGAAAAAGCAAGCTGGAGCGGGCCCACCTTCCCGAGGCAGTGATTGGCCCAGATTTCCGCCTGTCTGACGCCCTGCCCACCAGCTGTCATTGACCTTTGACCATTGCGAAACTACCGTTTCTTGTTTGCGTTGTCCCCACCCTGGTTTCCAGCACTGCGGGGCAGAAGCGGGCTGGAATCCTCAACAGGACGGGCGAGAATCGCGGTGCGGGACAGGTATGGGTCAGGGTCAAATTATGAGGCCGAGAGCCAGACACGGAGATGAGCACACGGTCTACACAGACACGGGACAGGCGGCAGACACAAGAAACGGGAACAGGATAGGGGCGAGTCCCCAGGTGGACGCCTGGTGGCGGCCCGTCCCAGATGTGTCTCACCCTGCAGGCCCAGAACGATGGCGGCTCCAGTGACCCCAGGACCCCTGACACCCGTCCCAGTAGCTCCTGGTGACCTCTCTGGGAGAGGGCCCCAAGGCCCTCGTGACACCCCGTCAGAGCCCAAGCAGCTCCCTGAGCTGATCCGCCTGAAGCGAGACGGAGGCCGCCTGAGCGAGGGGGACATTAAGGGCTTCGTGCGCGCTGTGGTAGACGGGAACGCGCAGGGTGTGCAGATAGGTACGTAAAAACAGATGGCGCGCCCAACCCTGATCCAGGCATTGCCTGTCCCGAGAACACCTAGCACTCCGCCACCGCCAGTGACCTCAGGGTAAGCCATCGCTGTGGGAACGCCCTCTTTATGCTGCCTGCACCCCTGTACCCCTTCCTTAGGGGCCATGCTCATGGCAATCCGACTGCGAGGCATGGACCTGGAGGAGACTGTGGCGCTGACTCAGGCCATGGCTAAGTCTGGGGAAGAGCTGGAGTGGCCAGAGGCCTGGAACCAGCAACTCGTGGACAAACATTCCACAGGGGGCGTGGGTGACAAAGTCAGCCTGGTCCTGGCACCTGCCCTGGCAGCCTGTGGCTGCAAGGTCAGAAGACGCCTCCTCCCAAGACCAGACCAGAACTCTGACCTCAGAGGCCAGCAGTTCACAAGCGCTACCGTGACCCAGACAGAGCTCCAAACGCAGAATTCAGGATTCTTGCCCCCAGGACAGGACTTGGGTCCCCTTCCCATCAGCTCACCATAACAGGACCAAGTTATCTAGTGCCCACACCCCATTTGGTATTGCAGAAAGGACTCCCTTTAGAGGCGGGTGCTCCTGTCCCTGGGTCCCCCAGACTTGTGCTCCCCCATCCCAAACCAGGACAGTTTCTTTTCCATTCCCTCTCCACCAGTTGGACCCACTACAAGGCCTTAGAAAATACTTAACTCCAGCTAAAGAAGTCCTAATCAGGAAAGGTGAGGGCAGATGTGCAAGTATACTCAGTATACCTGTCTCCCAGGTACCAATGATCAGTGGACGTGGCCTGGGGCACACAGGGGGCACCTTGGATAAACTAGAATCTATTCCTGGATTCACCGTCATCCAGAGCCCAGAACAGGTACAGGTGGGCTGCTGGTCAGTCATCGATCTGGGTTATTGATGGGACATTAACCAGAATCTCTGAAGGATCAGGGTCACTAATGAGGATACTGATCAAAGTTATTCATGGATCACTGACTGGTCACTGGACTTTGGTCAAGGTCATCAATGAACTTGGACTGGAGTCATTAACAGGGACTGAGTCAGGATCACTGATGGGCCTCTGATCAATAGGACATTGGTCAATATCCCTGATTAGTCCAGCCAGTCATTAACAAGGACTTATCAGAATTGTTCATAAGTCACTGGTCATGGTTTGGGACATTTGTCATGTCTGTTAGTCCCTGATAAGGGTTAGTGATGGGGTCATTGATCAGAGGTGGCTGAGTGTCTGTCATTGGGAGTGCTGACACTGGGATTTGGCCAGATGCAAGGTCTGCTGGAGCGAGTGGGTTGCTGTATTGTGGGTCAGAGCAAGAAACTGGTTCCTGCTGATGGAGTCCTGTATGAAGCCAGAGATGTGACAGCCACCGTTGACAGCCTGCCACTCATCACAGGTGACCTGACCCCACTCTCCAGGGTCCACCTTTGGCGTGTTCGAGACCTCCCATCACAGTCAGTGTCCTCTCATCATGGGACTGTGGGACCTCCCCCAATCCCAGGGGTGGCGGCCCCTCATCACAGGATTCCTGACCACCGATTCGAGCGACCTGGCTGATGCACCATGCGCCAGGCCTTGTCACCCCATCATAGGGGACTTGACCCTCAGTCCCCCACACCTCCCAGGGAGCTCTGGGCTGTCCTTTATCACCCGCCCCTCTGCCTGCCCCACAGCTTCCATCCTCAGTAAGAAGGTGGTGGAGAGCCTGTCTGCCCTGGTGGTGGACGTCAAGTTCGGCGCAGCTGCAGTCTTCACCAGCCAAGCCGAGGCCAGGGAGCTGGCAGGAGTGCTGGTGAGCAGCGGTGCCGGGTGTAGCCTGTGAGGCCTCCCTGTTAGGGTCTCCCTAGGCCAGTCACAAGGTCTTCTGATCCCCACTGCTGAGATCAGGCACATTGCCTGCTTCAGTCACCCCCACCCAAACACTTCTGTGACCCTCCACACACACACACACACACACACACACTCATCTCACTCGGGCAACCAAGGGTGCAGCACCAGCTGGAGTTTGGTGACACGCAGGCTACAAGAAGCCCTGCAGGGCACAAACCACACTGTGTCCCGCAGGTTGGTGTAGGGGCGGGCCTGGGTCTTCGGGTAGCAGCCGCTCTTACTGCTATGGACCACCCCCTGGGCCGCAGCGTGGGCAACTCCCTGGAGGTGGAGGAGGCGCTGCTTTGCATGGACGGCGCGGGGCCACCGGACCTGCGGGATCTGGTCACCAGGCTCGGTGAGTGGACGGTTACAAGATGTGTGGGGGCCGGGACTACAGAGCCGCCCCCGCTGCACCTAAGCCCCGCTCCACACCGGTAGGGGGCGTCTTGCTCTGGCTCAGCGGACAGGCAGAAGACCAAGACCAGGGCGTCACTCGGGTGGCCGCGACGCTGGACGACGGCTCGGCCCGGGACCGCTTCGAGCGAATGCTAGCGATGCAAGGCGTGGACCCGTGCCTGGCCCAAGCCCTATGCTCCGGGACCCCCGCGCAGCGCCGGCAGCTGCTGCCCCGCGCCCGAGAGCAAGAGGAGCTGCTCGCGCCCGCGGACGGTGAGCGCCCGCAGACGCGCGTCCCTGCCCCAGCCCCGTTCCCCCGCCCAGGTCCCGCTCCGTTCTGAGCCCCGGGCCCTGTCCCAAGCTCCGTCCCTCCCGCCCAGCTCACTTTTCCCGCAGGCACCGTGGAACTCGTCCGGGCGCTGCCGCTGGCGCGCGTGCTGCACGAGCTCGGGGCCGGACGCAGCCGCGCAGGGGAGCCGCTCCGGCTGGGGGTGGGCGCGGAGCTGCTGGTCAGCGTGGGCCAGAGGCTGCAACGCGGTGAGCAACGCGGGTGAGGGATCCCCGCCCCTCCTCGACCCCGCTGGCCGCCCCGCCCGCTGACGGCCTGTCCCACCGCCCGCAGGGACGCCGTGGCTCCGCGTGCACCTGGACGCGCCCGCACTCAGCGGCCCGCAGCGCCGCGCCCTGCAGGGGGCGCTCGTACTCTCGGACCGCGCTCCTTTCGCCGTCCCCTCGCCCTTCGCTGAGCTCATCTTGCCGCCGACCGACGCACAGCAATAAAGGCCGAGAGTCGCAAAGCCGTGTCTGCTCCTGGCGCGCCGGGGGTCGGGGGCGGGAAGGCGGGAGGGGGAGGCAAGTGTGCAGCGCTCCGAGTGACGCGTGGCCGCCGAGGAAGGAGCCCCGCTCCGTCCGACACGTGACCTGTCGTAGGGCCCGCCGCGTTTCGCGCGCACCGCCGGTACTAGGCGCGCGTGCGCGGCGCCGTTGACGCATGCGCACTGGTGTCGAGCTGGGCAAAGCGGCGGTTCCCTGGGCGGCTGCGGGGTAGGGCGCGGGTGGCGGTGGGTCAGCGCCTCCACCTGGGACGTATTCCCTGACTCGAGGCAACGACGCCGACTGCATAAGGTGCGAACACCGAGCTCCGGGAGCCTGGGAGGACCTCTGGTGCTGGGGACTGAGGGGCGGGCGGGCGCCTGGGGCGGGCTCGCTGCGTGACCGGTGCCGGCGTCCAGCTTTCTCACTTTCCCAGCGGCGCGGTGCCGGAGGGCTCCCAGAGAGGGGCCCAGGAAGCGCCCACAGGCTGCCTTCGCTTGCCACGCTCCTCTCCTGCACGGCTCCGAGCCCGTGTAGTCAAGGAGGAAGCTGGTACAGAAAGGCTAAGGGACATACCCAGTGTCATCCAGCCCAGAGCCCAAGTCTCGGAACCGCCCGGATGAGGGGTGGGAGGTGGAGACCACTCGTTTAGGAGCCTTGGGGAGGGTCCTCAGCCGCAGCTGAACAGGGGAAGGGGTATCCTCAGACCACCTAGCGAACCTCCAGAGGCCCCTGTAGAGGCACAGAGGTCCCCGGAGCCAGGGAAGGGCGTGGGCTATGAGCCAGCAGTTGCCAGCGGAAACCTGGATGTGACGAGGGTGGGATTTGTGGCGAGTGGGAACTGTTTCTCCGCCAGTGAGTGCGGGAGAAGGTTCATAAGGTGACGCTGAGGAGTGGAGTGGCCTCAGTGGGTAACTGCCTGAGCTCCCTGTGGGCAGCCTGGTGTGACACAGGGTTCTGCCGAGGGTGGGGGAAGGGGCTGAAGCGCTGTGGTCGGTCTCTGAAGTAGAAGGCTGACCGACAGCAAAAGGGCCAAAGGAGGAGCCTTCAAAGCTCCTCCTTTCTGAAAGGGGCTTTATTGCAGACAGACATGCTCAGAAACCCAGGCAAGCCATGCACTTGGAACGCTTTCAGTCAGCTCGTGCGGCAACACAGGTGGGTACTGGACAGGCTGTGTGGGGCTGCAGGTGCTGGGCAGGGCCAGGGCGGGATGAGAGGATGAGGCTCTCAGCTGAAGGAGAGTGACAGGCGTGGACGTTGAGGTTACAGAGGAGAAGCGGTTCTGAGCTCAGCAAAGCCGGTGGGTCGGCTTTGAGTCTAAGTGTGGGGTGGGCCCTTCACTTGGCCGCGAGTCTCCAGAGCGATGGGGAATGACCCGGGGGGCAGAGGCACCTGCTGGCTCCTGACACCTTGGCTCTTTCCAGGAGCGTCAGCCCCATGCTGCTGCTGGCTCGGACACCCAAGGCTTTGCCCAGGCTCTGCCAGCTCGGGGTCCTAGCCCTCCCCAGGAGCCCAGAAGGCAAGGCCCTGCCTGTGAGGCGCCAGCTCTGGTCAAGGCAGGGCCAGCCCCAGGGCCCCGGGCTGCGGGCTCGGCTGCTGATCACTGCCTTGTTTGGGGCCGGGCTGGGTGGGGCCTGGCTGGCCATGAGGGCTGAGAAGGAGCAGGATCGGCAGCAGCGGCGGACAGAGGCCCTGCGCCAGGCAGCTGTGGGCCAGGGCGACTTCAGCCTGCTGGACCACTGGGGCCAGCCCCGCTGCAAAGCTGACTTCCGGGGCCAGTGGGTGCTGCTGTACTTTGGCTTCACCCACTGCCCGGACATCTGCCCCGAAGAGCTGGAGAAACTGGTGCGGGCGGTGCGGCAGCTGGAGGCCGAGCCGGGCCTGCCCCCCGTGCAGCCCGTCTTCATCACCGTGGACCCCGAGCGGGACGACGTGGCAGCCATGGCCCGCTACGTGCAGGACTTCCACCCGAGGCTGCTGGGCTTGACCGGCTCCACCGAGCAGGTGGCCCAAGTGAGCCGCAGCTACCGTGTGTACTACAGCGCAGGCCCCAAGGACGAGGACCAGGACTACATCGTGGACCACTCCGTGGCCATCTACCTGCTCAGCCCTGACGGCCTCTTCACGGACTACTACAGCCGGGCCCAGTCGGCCGAGCAGATCGCAGCCAGCGTACGGCGCCACATGGCCACCTTCCGCAGCGTCCTGCAATGAGCAGGTGTCAAAGGTGCAGCTGTGTGTGTGTGTGCGCCCACACTGTCCTGGGGGCCTCAGCACAGCTGGGCTGCAGGAGAGAGGCAGCCGCTTTCCCTGCACAGACCAACTTTGTTAATTAAGGCCGGGCAGGATGGCAACACCACTTTATTAGGCTGGGCCAGCCAGGAAGGGGGGACATGGGCAGGTGTGTGCCCAGCATCCTTGGGGGCCGGCCCCCAGGCCCACCACTGGTCCCTGACTCAGGGCTGGGCCATGGAAGGGGCCGTGTAGGTCTGGAAGCGCTTGTGGGCCCGCTGGTGTGTGAGCAGTCGCAGGGACATGGTGTCCACAGCTGCCTCCAGCCCCGGCTGCTGGCTGATCTCCACTGTGTAGTCGTTGGCCTGCAGGGACAAGGTGTCAGCAGAGTCCAGGCACCATTCCCTCCCAGGCCTCCAGGCTACTCACCAGCTGCAGAGAGGCCAGCAGGGAGCGACACACCTCGAAAGCAGGCTGGCCAGCCACCAGCTCTGCAAAGGGGCACCACTGGTTGAGCTGGCTGAACCTTGAGACCAGCTGGTCCCCATAAGTATGGATGTCAAAGGGCACCTGCTGCTCCTGTGGGGGAGGGGGGAAGTCAGGTCCTCAGGTGCCCCAGGAGGGCAGCAGGGCTCAGGCTGGCAAAGTCCGCCCATCCACCCACCTTACCTGCTGCTGGAGCAGGGGCTGGACGCTGTCCTCCCACTCCCGGACACGCTGGCCCAGCTCTGTCTCCTGGACAAACTTCTGCGAGGAGGTGATGAAGAGCTCCTGGGGGAGGACGGGGCTGCAGCCTTCTGTGGGGCCTGCCCCCAGCCCCCCGCCCACTCTGACCTCGGCCTACCACATTCCTTCGGACCAGCTCCTCATAACTCAGGGACACTGGCACGGCCTCTGCTTCTGGAAGGGGGCCAGCGAGGGGCATCTGTGAGCCGGGCGCCACACCCCTCCCCCAGCCTCAGCCCACACCTAGACCTACCGGGGTCTGCGGCTTTCCCAAGCTCTGCCCCCTCGGGCTCTACGTACTCCTCAGGTTCCAGAAAGTCATCTGCTGGAAGATGGAGCGCCCAGCGGGAGGCAGGTCAAGGAGCAGCAGGCCCTGAGCCCCCACCCCCACCCTCTGCAGAAGGCACCCACCTGCTGCCTCCAGGGAGTCCTCCAGGCGGTCCTCCTCAGGCCACAGCCCCTCCTCAGCCCTGGGCAGCCACGGCTCAGCCACCTGTGCAAGAGCATAGGTGACGGGGTTGCTGGATTCCTCCATGGGGTGGGGGAGCGTGGTGGGGTGGGGGTCAGATTGGCCGGTATTCACCTCCCTCCTCTGCAGCTTCCGGAGGGTCTCCAGTTGCTCCTTCACGTGCTTCCAATACAGAACCTCCATGTCTGCAGACAAAGACCTTATGAGGGACTCCCGCATCCTGCCTAGACCACTCCAGTCCACCCAGGGCCCTGGGCATCCCCACGCCAAGGGGCATTGGGCAGAGCATGGCGCCGTTACCCCTTAGAGCACACACAGGGTCCCAGCCTCACCAGCAAAGGATGGGCCTTTTCGCCGGCGTCTCCTGCTGTCAGCATGGTCGGCATCTGCAAGAGAGCACGGTCCGGTGGGTAGGAACTGAGCCAAGCTGAGCCCGTGGCCCCACCCGGCACTGGCATGCCCACGCACAGGTGGCCAGGTACCACTGGTGGAAGTCCTGCAGCTTGGTGGCACCCTTCCTCTTGCGTTTCTGTCCTGGAGCCTCCTCCACGCAGGCAGGCACAGAGTAGGGCCTCCCTGATGGCAAACGGACTGTGTCTCAGGCAAGGGAGCACGCCCCTGCCAGGCTCCCGCGGGTACAGGACACAGCTCACCACCCGTCGTGCCCCAGCACGCCTCGCCACAGATGCCATTTTGGACGTGTCCCTCCAACCAGTTACCTTTCTTGAAGGGCTTAGATTCCAGAGAGTTGAAGGGGTCCAGGCTCTGCCAGGGGTCTGGGGTCTCCTAAGCAGAGTACAAGCAGACACTGGGGGAGGGAGGATATGCACTTCCCCCAAAGCCCAACACCGAGTGCAGTGACAGCCAGGGAAGGACTGGCCACACTCAATGCAGGATCCCAGGGTGACACGCAAGGGCCTCAGGTGATAGGCGTGAAGAAGTGGGTGGTGGGGCCTCAAGCACACCCTGTCTCCCGGTGGGACCTATACCCCACCACCTCTCACCTTCAGCTGGGACAAGGGCTCCGGGACTTGTGGCCGCTCCCGCAGGGTACACCTCTTAGGCTGGGCAGTGCTCTGCAAAGAAACAGCCCTGGGGTGCTCCTCCTCCACCCAAGGCCCGTCCCCTCCACCCAAGGCCTCAGGACGTGGCAGCTCCACTCTGGGGGCAGAAAGTTCCAGCAGTGCAAAGGCTAAAAAAGTAAAACCTCCAGGAAAAACATCAGGAGAACAAACTAGTAACCTTGGAGTCATCAGGGAAAAACAGAAAAAGGAATAATATAGATATCCTTACATATCCCAGCCCAAATGAACAAATGTTAATCGTTTCTTGTGTCAACGTTTGTTTTTTAAGGACAGTCGGTTTCTTAGCTCTAGGCTATGCACAGGGCCCACCCTTTGGAGCTTTACAGCCCAGTTGCCATCCTGGGTGCTAGCTGGGAGAGGGAGAGGGCTGGCTAGGGGCACAGAATGTGGGACTGCCTGCCCTGGGTAGCAAGCATGGCCACCCCAGGGCCAGGACTTGCCCGGCTGACAGCTCAAGCTTTGCTGGCCTCAGTGTGGGTCCCACCTGCTGCAGGCTCCTCGGTTCCTGGGGCTGGAGAGAGACCTCGGGGTCTGTGACCTCAGGGAGCTCAGCCGCCCCCTCTGCATCCTCATCCTCACCCCCAACTCCGGGCACTGGACCTTCTGGAGAGGTGCCTGGGCAGGGGAGCAAGACATCTGTCAGCCCTGAGGAGCCCGAAGCCCAGACAGCAGGTGGGCTGCCCCTCTCAGGTTCATTCTTTACACCCAGAGAACGCAGCGGGGCATTTCATGCTCTCAATGTGCTACTGCCTTGTTTGGGTGCTTGTATTTCTTAGCTGCTACCTGTGTCTGCCCAGAAAGGATGGGCAGGTCCAAACCTCAGAGGCCAAGGATGGGCAGACAGCACCACAAATGCAGGTGTGGAGCAAGGCCTGGGTGCACAGGGAAGAGCACAAAGTCTGCCCCACCCCCACCTGCAGGTCCACCAGGGTGCTCTCTCCTTACCTGGCTCCTGGGAGATACTGGGCACAGGGCCTGGACTCCTGCACAGAGAGACTTCCATTGGCTGTTCCTCAGCCCTCCCAGCCTCTAGGAAAGAAGGGGGATTGGACAGGGTCAGCCCAGCTCCGCCCTCAGAGCCAGGGCCCAGGAGGGAGAGCAGAGCCTGTGTGCAGGACTCAGGCGCCTTGGGACTGAGCCGGCGGCACGCAGAGCAGGGCGGGGAACCAGCTCCAGCAGACCGGTCCTGGAGCAGGAGGCGGGAGGGAGGGCGGGAGTCTGGGACCAGAGCTGGTGGACACGGTACCCAACAAGGTGCTCAGCGCCGAAGACCCTTCCTTACCACCAAGTCCCCACATCCAAGCCCTCACCCGTCCTCGGCAGCAGTGTCTCCATAGACGACATGCCCACCGGCTCCAACATGAAGGCTCCTCTGGGGTGAGGGGTGCACGTGTTCATCCTGAAATCCTTCCGGCTGGCCAGTACCTCCCCCTGACAGCTGTGCTGGTGAAAACACAGCAGCTGCAGAGACCCTTCCCAGGCAGGCCTCGCCCTGCACCCCCACCCCACCCCCAGGCCCGTACCTGTACAGGGGGCTGGCATTCCTCTCCATTTCATCCAGAGCTACCAGGGCCATGGGCAGGAGGGGGACGATGAGGACCTCCTGCACAGAGGCCGAGAGTAGGTGAGCCACGACCATCGCTACATTCAGCTCCACACACACGGAGAGGGGCGCTCACAGAGGGGGCCTAGTCGGTTCTTAGATCCACCCCACCCACAGGGGCGGGGCACTCACGCTGGGGGCGTGGTCAGTCCTCAGATTCACGTTAGAACGGGAGTCAGGCAGGTCATCCAGCGACAGGAACTGTGGGGAGACAGAGCTCAGGAGCTGCGCCCTACGAGCACAGCTGGTGGGGGCCACGTACCCATAAGCCTTTACCTCGTCATCCGCCACCTCCTGGCGGGCCCCGGAGCCGGTGTCCCCACTTGCCCCGTTTTCCTGCACGGAGGAGAGCTGCTTGGCCCGCCTAGGAGAGAATCAACGTGGGGGTGTCCGGAAGGCGGCGGGGCCCTCCACAGCCGCACGCAGCCCTCCACAGGCCCCACCTCCTGGCTCGCGCCTCCAGTGCTCACCTCTTGCCAGAGATGAAATCAAGGGCCTGGTAGACCAGCGAGTACAGGTATTCCACCTGGCGACCGGAAGCAGGAGGTGAGGACACAGAAAGGAGGCCCACCCAAGATGCGCCATGGCCCTCCCCAGAGCCTTCCAAACCAGGCCTCGTGTACAGAGACGTCCAGCAGTCCCCTCCAAAACCTCCAGCAATTCGGCCACCAAAAGGACCTCTCCAACTGAACACGAGTGTCTGGTCAGAATTACTCTCGAGGCTGCAGCGTTCGTGCCTCCCACAACTGCCTGCGTGTGCGTGTCCACACTGCTCCCCCAGCGCCCCGCGCTGGCTCCTGTTCCTCCTGGAGGCTCAGCCCACTGCCTACAGACCTGTAGGAGTCACTGGGGGTCTCCGCCCTGAGCTGGGGGCCCCACGTTAGGATGAGGGTGAGGACTTGGAGATGCCGACCACAACACACAGCAGAAGGTGCATATGCTGCCGCCTCCGGGCTACTTCCTGTAGGATGGCCGCATGCAGGAGCACACGGGAACCCTCCCGGCCCTGCCTCTTGTTCGTGCACCAAAGGCTTACTGCCACGTCCAGTGCTCTGCACTGGACACCAGATACAGTGGTGAGCAAAAGACACATGGCTCCTGCCCGCACGGGTTCCATTTACTCGAAACAATCAACCTAACTTTTCCAAGTGTTTGCCTCCTATACAGGGCTGTGCTCCGTGCTTCAGCTCATTGAATCGGCATCAGGTGCCATTGGTATTCTCATCTGATACGAGACTAAACAGACTCAGAGAAATACAGGAACCTGGGTCAGCGGGTCCAGGATGCCCATCAGGGACCCATGAGCCCCGTGCTGCACCACCTCACAGAGCAACCGCTGACCACATGTGGCTACAGCAATTCAACTAAAATTACTAAAACTCAAAATTCCCAACTCTTAGTCACACCGGTCGCATTCCAAGGGCTCGGCAGCCACACGTAGCTGGCAGGCACACTGTATGACAGCAGACCACAGGCCCTTCAGGACCTCAGAAAGCCCCCCGGACAGAGCGGGTATATGGCCCGCCAGTGCCCAGGTCCTGAGCATGCTCGGCACCCACAGTGCCAGGTCTGCCTCCGCACATCTGTCAGCCGCCCGTCACCAGCTCAGCTCCTGTTCTGTGCTTTCAAAGTGACGTGTAGGCATTCCTTCTGAGGACAAATGCAGGATGTAGGAATCCGACTTCAAGGGCTAACCCAGGACCAAAATCAATGAAATCTTAGGCTGTGTTAATAACCTATGGTGCCCAGAGGCACATCCACCATGTCCTGGGCCAGGTAAACTGCATGGAAGTTACACCCCCTTGTCTGGTGTGGACCCCGTCCCTGAGCTCCCCACACTTATCTCCCACCCCCCAACCCGCCCCTTGGATCAGCGCTGTGGGATGGCTGGGGGAAGTCACCTCCACGCACCCACGCATCCCTGAAACAGAAAGGTGCGTGAATCCCCAGCAGGCTACCAAGCTTCCCAGTACTCTTTTATTTCGCATTCCCCTCAGCAAATATTCTGAACTTTCGCCAAATTCCACTCTCCAAATGGCCCATCCAGTAGCCGATTCTCAGCACTGACTTATATTCTCCACTCTGGAGGTTGGGACCTTGGCATCAGCTCCCCGAAACCCTGCGCCCCACTCCCGTCTCCCTCCCGTCTCCTGACAAGAGGCACCTTTTCCTTCTCTCAGGGCAGCCCGTGTCACCGTGTTCCTGATGAGGCCTTGCATATTTCTTCCAGGACTCTCACCCCTTTTCCTCTTCCTTCCTCCTTCCTCCCGCCCCCCACCTCCCCAGCTGCCCTTTTACCCTTCAGCTCCATGGTTTTCAATCCTTGCTATCACTGAGGATCCGTCAAGAAATCATCCCAGGGGTTCCGCCTTAACCAGTCTTAACCAGGGTAAGGTCCAGGCACTGGCAATTGCCTGGGTTGCAGCCTGGGCTCACAATGCAGCCTCAGTTACCGCCCAGTCTCTTTCCTTCCCTTTTCAATAAAGCTTCTTAAGAGGAGTCCGCTGGTTTTGTGTCCTTTCCTGCGTCTCAGTGTTCCTCTACCGACCACAGCCTGGCCCTTCACCAAAATCCCAGGGACCCAAGCGCAGGCCCAGCAGGAACTCAGAAACCTTTACGCCTGGGTCCAGTTCACTGAATTCAACACTCTGGGTCTTTTTTTTTCTCCCTGCAAATGCTCTCCTGGCTCTGAATTCCCCAAAAGGACATTTCCTTCACTGTCCTCTCTCGACTCCCTTCTTGCGGGCACTCCCTAATGCCGCCATCCTAGGTGCTCCCCGCACTTTCCTCTCACTCTCCAACAGGGTCCACGGACACTGTGGACCAGACGATCCTTTGCAGCATGGGATGTTAAGAAGCAGACCCTGCCATGTTAAATGCAAGCTTGTTCTTTGGTATTAAAAGGTGGCAAGGGATCCAGAAAGGAGACGGGTGAGCCTGCCACCTGGCCAGCGGGACGACAGACCCCGGTGGTCCTCAGCAACAAAGCACCAAGAACTGGGGCTGAGCCCACCTTCTTACTGTAGACACAGGCAGAGCCCTGGATCAATAGCGCTGCCTCAACGAAGTTCATCGTAGTTTTGCCTTCGTCAAAAGAAATGCAGATCTGGTCCAACTGCAAGACAAAATGGGGCAGTGGGAAGCAGAGTGCGTGCACTTCCCGGACAGCCCACCTTCCACCCGCCTCCTCCCAGCACCTCCGGCCAGGTGCCAGGTCACCATGAGCAGCCCTCAGACTGACAGCTCAGCTCTGCTTGGGGCTCACTTGCTGTCCATTGTTTTCAGAGGGTCTTTGGGATTCCCCCCTCCTTCCTAAAACCTTTGAGACCAGGTGTTTGGAAGAGGGAGACCCCTGCAGCGTGCCACCCACAGCCAGAGCTTCATGCCAGCTCCTCCCCACCCAAGTCAGGTCCAACTCGGACAGACTCCTGCAGATTACCCCTCACCCCGAGAGGGAGGGACACAGACAGAGACAAACACTGGGCTCAATCCTGTGAACAGACCTGCCCTGAAGCCCAGCATCTGTCACCTCTTAAGTGGCAGTGTCCCGATCACATGCCAGCGGTTCCCAAACCCACCCCGGCCAGCTCTCCTAAGCTGCAGGACCGCGTCTGTAGCTGCCCACCAGGTTCCTCTATCGAGACAGCCACACATCCCTACACGTCACCCCCACATGTCACCAGTTCTTCCCCACAGCCTGGCCCTTGTCCTGCACCCTCAGCCAACGGCACCTGAAGCCCTGACACGTGTCAAGTTCACTGCCTCTGCTCCATCTTCCTGGAACACCCCCCATAGCTGGCCCAGCGTGAACTCTGCTGCAGTCCCCCACAGACACGCCCCGGGGCTCCCTGCCACACTTCTGGGGTCTCTCCTCCCTCAGTGAAGTGTGAGCAGCGGAGGGTGAGCACAGCCTGAGCTTAGCACCTGGTGCTGCTGCCCAACAAACGATGAACGAAGTGGTGACGTCAGAGCTAAGCCACCAGAAACATGGCCAAACGTCTTTCTTCGCCACTTCCCAGGTGAAGGGAATGGCTTTTCTGGAAGAGCAACCACCACATAGGATTCTACTACTCAGGAAAACACGTCCAAAGCACAGGGTGTGCTGGGGAGCGAGGCGAGATACCAGGCACTATGGCGGCATAAAGAAGGCAGGAGTCTGGGAGGAAGCCGGCACTCTCGCTAACTCCTGCAGGACACAGGACCAGGGCAGCCAGGAAGTGCGAGCTTTCTGGGCGCTGGCCTGCAAGGAGGGCGTACAAAGGAGAGGGGGCTGGTCCACCCGGCCCGAGGCTGTCACTGAAGAGAAAGGCCGCCCCCTCGGCCCAAGGTCTGCGCACCCACTCGCAGGACCTCATGGTCCACTCTCCTTCGAATGTCTCTCAAATCACACTCCTAGGTCGGACCTCCCATCGGAGCCCAGACCTGATGTCCAACTGCCTTCTTCAAACACCACCTGGACAGTATAACCGAATTCAGACTGAACAGGCCTACACTGGACTCCAGCACCCCTCCCCAAACCAGCCTCCCAGAGCCCAGGGGCCTAACGCCTTCCTCCCTTCTCTCACCGCCCCTTAGTCCCCTCCAAGTCCTGCCCTGGGCTCCACCCGGACCTGACTGCTCCTCCCACTCTCTTCCTGCCAGGACGAGGCACTAACTGGGTTCTCCCAGCCCTCCACTTCCCTCCAGTGTATTCTTCACCAGTGCCTGTCTTAAGACATAAGCTGGATTACATCACTGTACTCAGAACTTCCCACACTGCCCAGGTTCCCTTTCCATTGACGCACACGCACACTCACACAGCACACACATGCACGCGCACACAGCGGTCACAGCTACTTCCAGGCCCTCCACTGAGCCAACGTGTTCCCACCTCAGAACCTTGGACCACCACTGTCTGAACCGGAACATTCTTCAGTTCACGACGACAAGGCAACTCCTTTAATCCCAAACAACATTCAGTCCCCCAATCAGAATCTTCATGGAACCCTCCACTTTCCTTTCAAACCACTCATCAGTCTGTGGTTACACAAAGACCCACAGGGTTGGGGGGGGGGGGGCCTCTGCTCTGCCCCAAGCTGGGCCTTTGACCACATCACGGAACCTCTCTGTAGAACTAGCACCTGGGCAATGGGGCTGCTGTAAGGATTAAATGAGATTAGACGTATGAAGCACACAAAACCGGGCTGGGTGAGCCAGCACCAAATGCGCAATGCGCCTACAACACCTGCAGTTGCTGCCTCAGGCTGCATCTCTCCGCGGGAGTGAAGCAGGGACTCCTGGGTGCTTGCCACTATGTTCTCAAGGTTTAACATGTTCTTGGTACATGACACTCAACAGCAATGAATAAATTAAGTAGATGAAAGAGGATAGCAACATGATAAGATCTTTTTTTAAAAAAAGAACATTCTGGTAGCTGTGTGGAAAATGAAACGAGAAGAAAGACAAAACTAGAGAACTCAGGGCTTCAGAGGGCAGAGAAGGTTTGGAAGAGCAGACATATGAAGCTGAGGGGAGCTGACCAAGCAAGGAACTAAAATTACCAGGCATTCCCAAGTACCCTGCTTGAGGTGGAAACCTGAATCCACAGTAGCCCCACCCAGCACACTTCTCTGCATTTTCTCAGCAGAGTGTGTCTCCAAGCAGAGGTCGATCATCAGATCAAGTGTTCATTTAACAAACAATTACTTCATACCTACTAAGTGCCGGACATTTTGTTCAGCAAAGAAGAGAGAGTACAAACATGGTCGCTGCCCTTGCAGAATTTACATTTTAGAGTGGAAAGAGACCACGAACAAGTAAACAAGTTAAAGAATAGCTTGTGATAAATATTCTAAAGTATGTATTTTAGACAGGGTGGTCAGCTGACATTTAAACTAAGACATAAAAGATAAGAAATTAGTCATAAAAAGACCTGGGTGAAGAATACTCCCCAGGAGGAACACAAAATATAAATGCCCTCGGTTAAAAATGAGCTCGGCTGTTGCAGGTTGACTGGCTCGAAAGAACAGGTGAAGATACAGAATGAAGGCTAAAACAGTAAGCAGGGGGCGGCCAGGCGGCTCAGTTAGTTAGCATGCTCTGAGCATCAGGGTTGCCAGTTCAACTCCCACATGGGCCAGTGAACTGCACCCCCTGCAACTAGATTGAAAATGGCAACTGGACTTGGAGCTGAGATGCACCCTCCACAACTTAGATTGAAGGACAACTTGACTTGGAGCTGATGGGTCCTGGAAAAAACACATTGTTCCCCAATAAAGTTTAAACAAAAATAAAACAGTAAGTAGGGCCAAATTCAGGGCAGGAAGTCCGGATTTCATTCTGAGAGCGATGGAAAGCCACTGAGGGGGTTTAGGCAGGGCAGTGCTGCAGCCTGATAATTTTTAAGTGTCACACTTGCTGCTGGATGGAACACAGATTGGATGGCACCAAAAACAGCAGTAGGACGCCTAGGAAGGAAGGTTTTACACGAATCTGAGACAGATGGTGGCCTGGACCACAGAAAAAGGAGAACAGATGAATTCAAATGAAACTCTGGTGGCATAAATTCTGGTGGTGAACTGGGTGTGGGTTTCACTACAATTGCTCTTAGCTTTCACCTTTGGTTGAATAGTGGTGCTATTTACCAAGGTCGGAAGGCTGGGATTTGAGCAGGAAAATAAAAAGCTCCACTTTAAATATATTAGATCTGAGATGCTTTGTGACATCTAAGTGGAATGTCAGATGAACAGCTGGATACACAAAACAGGGTAAGAGGGAAGCTATGGGACGGGGATATAAGCCTGGGAGCTCTCTTCATACAGTGATATTTAAAATCATGGGAATAAATGAGATTGTTGAGGGGAAATGTGTAAGAAGATGCTCAGGAACGCTCTGAGCAGCTCAACGCTGAGATTGCACAGGAAAGAAAAGGTAGGCGATGAAATGGGAAGAAAATCTGTAAACCAAAACCTGTTTCAAAAAGGAGGGAGTAGCCAACCCAACAAGTGCTGCTGAGGTGAATAAGATGACACTTTTAGTGTCCCCTGGATTTGATAGGGTGGAGGTCATTTTTGATCAAGAGCTGTCCAAGTGGACGGAGGAGTAAAAGTGAAGTGAAAAAGTGGAGCAAGGAGCTCCCTAAGGAGGGCTAGACACAGCTGTGAAATATAGAAGAAAGGTTCAGTGCTGACAGGATGAAACATGGCAGTAGCTTGAAACTGGTCTGAAAATCCAACATAGAAATCCTTCTGGTCAATAATATCGTAATAATGATGTATGCTGACAGATGGTTACCACACTTATTGTGAACACTTCCTAAAGTATATAAATGTTAAATTACTATGTTGTACACCTGAAAGTAATATAATGTATGTCAATTATAATTTTAAAAAAAAAGTAAATCCCTCTTACATCGTGATTCAGGATCTCTCAAACACCCAAAATTCTATCCTATTACATTAGAGAAAAATGCTGGTCATCACCCAGTAAGTAGATTGATTTCATGGCTCATAATGGGTAGCGACCTGTAATGACAGCTCCGGGCTAATTTAATAAGGGATGATTTCGGGAGGCAGCGATGGAGTTGGGGAAAAGGAAACGCGCCTGAGAATGATCGCGGCCAGAGCGTCGGATGTACACAAACCAGGAGGCGGCGAGGCCGCCAGCAGCCCCCGGCCCGGCGCCCCGCCTGCCCAGCGCCACTCCCCCGAGGCGGCCCTCACCTCCTCCAGATATTCGCCCAGCTGGGCCGCCACGTCCACCTCCCAGTTCTTGGTGAGGTCGCGGATGGGCTGCAGAAGATGCGCGAAGCGCGCCTCCACGTCCTCCATGTCCGGGAGGGGCCGGGGCGGCCCAGTAACCGCAGCGCAGGCTTCCAGGGGGCCAGGGTATCAGCCCGCCACCAGTTCTGGCGCCATTTTGCTGTTCCCGCCCAGGAAAGTACGTAGCGCGAGGCGCCGCGCGCACACCTATGACGTACCGGCCAAGGCCGGCGTGGAGCGAACCCGGGCGCTGCGCGGCAGACGTTCGCCGTAAGGGCCGCTGGAGGCGGGGCAGGCGCGGGGGCGGGGCGTGTGCTGGAGGCGGGGCGGGGCCAGGCTGGGGCGGGGCTTGCAGTTGGACAGACGCGCGGGCGCCTGTCCAGCGGGCCGCGTAGCGGACATGGCGGGCTCCCGGCTCCCGCGGCAGCTGTTTCTCCAGGGCGTGGCCGCCGTCTTCTTGTTCGCCTTCGCTTCCCTCTACACACAGATCCCGGGTGAGGGCGCCGAGCGGGGACACCCCCCAACCCGTGCCCTGTGCGGTGTCATCTCCCCACCCGACACTCCGCTGTCTTGGGGCGGGAGTGAGGGCCAGGCCTTGATGTGTGGGGTAGGGGGCTGCGGTTCGTGTCCTGCGGGCCGCAGGGTTTGCGGGGTAGGAGATAAAGCTCTGACCTCGAGGAGATTGGAACTGGGCTCTGCCGGGTGGGAGATCCTGGCCTGGAGAGTCTGGGTAGGCCTACTGGGGCCTAACCTGGGGGGAAGTGGGCGGTCAACAGGTTCTGACTTGTTGGGGGTAGGGTCTGCACATCCTGCTCTGGGGTGGGGGGCGCTGCAGGTCTTGACCTGAGGAGGCGGATAGGTGCGGGGAGTCTAGCCTTCCAGGGCAGCGTCCAGGGCTTGGCCCTGACATGCCCTCCCACAGGCCTATATGGCTCCGACGGCATCCTACCTGCACGGAGGACCCTGCGGCCCGAGGGCAAGGGGCGCTGGCAGCAGCTGTGGGAGGTCCCGACGCTGCTGTGGGAGGCACCGCGGCTGGGACTGGACACAGCACAGGGCCTGGAGCTGCTGAGCCTCCTGGGCTCCCTGCTGGCTCTGGGCGCCCTGCTGCTGCGCCGGCTGTGCCACCCCCTCACCTACCTGCTACTCTGGGCTGCCTACCTGTCAGCCTGCCAGGCAAGTGGGGGCTGCCTGCTGCCAACCAACCCACCCCAGCCCCATTCGCCCCCCACGCTTCCCCGTCTCTCGTTGTCTGCCTCCCCAGCTGTCCAGCCCCTGCTCCCTGACAGCCCTTCTCCCTGCAGGTGGGCCAGGTGTTTCTGTATTTCCAGTGGTGAGTGACTGTTGGGTGTGGGCCTGCAGGAGGCGGGGGTGGGGCAGGGTGTGCCTGCCTGTCCCAGGAGGACCCTGTGACGGGGCATCTTGATGGGGGGGCCCTTGTGCTCTTCCTACTCCCTGTAGGGACTCCCTGCTCCTGGAGACTGGCTTCCTGGCCGTGCTGGTGGCCCCTTTGAGGCAGCCGCCCCAGGGCGGGCTGGCAAGGGCCTCGCCCCACGAAGGCCTCCCCTTCTGGCTCGTGCGCTGGCTGCTGTTTCGCCTCATGTTCGCCTCGGGTGTGGTCAAGCTGACCAGCCGTTGCCCTGCGTGGTGGGGGCTCACCGGTGAGGGTCTCAGACTGGACATGGGGCATTCTTGGAGGCTCTGCCCAGCCCTGATTGCCCACCGTCACCTGCAGCCCTCACCTACCACTACGAGACGCAGTGCCTGCCCACGCCTGCTTCCTGGTTTGCCCACCACCTGCCCGTCTGGCTGCACAGGCTGAGCGTGGTGGCCACCTTCCTCATTGAGGTCGCGATGCCCCCTCTGTTCTTCGCCCCGGCTCGCCGCCTGCGCCTGGCTGCCTTCTACTGCCAGGTGGGTGGGGACCCATGCCTCAGGGAGACGGGGACATGGTTTTCCTCCACACTACCCAGTGGGTCCCATCAGGGACAGGGTAGTCAGGAAGGCTTTAGGCCAAGGGATGCGTTAACTCAACGTGAAGATGTGCCTGGGGGCAGGGCACTGCCTCGCTGGAGGGTGTGAGTGGGGCAGGAAGGGTGCTGAGTGTGGGTGTTCTCCCGGTGGTGCTGGGGAGTCATGGGAGTCATGACAGAGGGAGCGGGAACAGACAGAGGCCAGGGGGTGTCGAAGAGGGGCAGGGTGCCTGCAGGAGGACCCAGGCATGGGCTGCAGGCCCTGACGTGCCTAGGCAGGGGCTCTGAGTGTGGGCCGTCCCCAGGTCTTGCTGCAAGTTCTGATCATCACTACGGGCAACTATAACTTTTTCAACCTGCTCACCCTGGTGCTCACTACCGCCCTCCTGGATGACAAGCATCTGGCTGCCGAGACTGGCAACAGCCTCTGCAAAAAGACACCCACCTGTGAGTGACAGCCAGCCATACTCACCCTGCTGCCCACCAGGGCATGTTATTCCCTCCAAACCCCTCCAGGTGACCTCTGCTGTGGCTCTACCGCAGCCCCAGGCTGCTGCCCTGCAGCCCTGTTCCCAGCTCACCCCTAACTACCTTGCCCTACAGTCTGGCCCAAGGCCCTGCTGACCTTGCTGCTGGAATTGGCCGTTGGTGGGCTGCTGGCCTACGGCACCGTGCACTACTTTGGCCTGGAGGTCGACTGGGAGCAGCACACTGTCCACTCCAGAACCAGTGAGTGCCCACTGGGCCCCGGGGGCAAGGGCTGGCCCACCCCTCCTCACACCCCCTTCCTTCCACAGCCTTCACCTTCCACCAGTTCTCCCAGTGGCTGAAGATGGTGACCCTGCCCACCATGTGGTTGGGGGCAGCCTCCCTCACCTGGGAACTGCTGACAGCCCTCTGGAGGTGTGTGATGAGGCCGGAGGGGGAGGGAGATAGAGCTGTGCAGAGCAGGGCTGACTGCACTCCCATCCCCCGCCCCCCAGGTGGACCCAGGTGCAAGGATGGCTGCAGAAGATCTGGGCTGCCATCCAGCTGTCCATCTTTGGCACTGCCACGGTGGCCTTGTTCACAATCAGCCTGGTGGGTAGCACTTCACAAAGGGCAGGGGGAAGGGGCTGGAGGGGCAGCACTGAGCCTCTGCCCACCGGTCCCCAGGTGCCATACTCCTACATGGAGCCCTCCACCCATGGGCGCCTCTGGACCGGGGCCCATCGCCTCTTTGGCACTGTGGAGCACCTGCAGCTGGCCAACTCCTATGGCCTCTTTCGCCGGATGACTGGTCTAGGTGGGCGGCCTGAGGTAGTGCTGGAGGGCAGCTACGACGGGCACCACTGGACGGTGAGCTCTGCCACAGGCCCCTGCCTGGGCAGTCTGGCAGGCTCCATGCACCGGGGAAACCCATGGACTTGAAGTTGGGGGGAGAAGGGGGGTCCCGTGTCCAGCTGCCCTCCTGAACCCAGCTGGGCTCGCAGGAGATCGAGTTCATGTACAAGCCAGGGAACGTGAGCCGGCTGCCCCCCGTCGTGGTGCCCCACCAGCCGCGCCTTGATTGGCAGATGTGGTTCGCGGCCCTGGGCCCACACACGCACAGCCCCTGGTTCACCAGCCTGGTCCTCTGCCTGCTGCAGGGCAAGGAGCCTGGTGAGGCCCGGGGCAGAGGGGTGGGGCAGAGCTTGCCGGAGGGGCGGGGCTTGTGGGCGGGGCTGAAGGCGCTACCAGAGGAGTTGAGCCTCCCCTCCCCCACAGTGATCCGCCTCATCCAGAACGATGTGGCCAGGTACCCCTTCCACAAGCAGCCGCCCACCTTCGTGCGGGCCCAGCGCTACAAGTACTGGTTCTCACAGCCTGGGGAGCAGGGGTAAGGCTGGGGCGCCGGCAGCGTGCGGGGGCCTGGGTTCTGGCACCCCCTGAATGCCCCTTCCTGTTGCAGCCGGTGGTGGCGACGCCAGTGGGCTGAGGAATTCTTCCCGGCTGTGTCGCTAGGAGACCCCACGCTGGACATGCTGCTCAGGCAGTTTGGCCTCCAGGTAGGGAGGCATTAGCCAGGCTGGGGGAGGTGACAGGGGTGACCTCTGCCTACAGGGACGACCCCCATGGACCCTCCTTAATCCTGCCCCAACAGGACAAGAGCCCACCCCGGACACGCAGCTCCAGCAATACCCTTGCCCAGGCCCTCCTCTGGGTACGGAGACAGCTATCTCCCCTGGAGGCCCCCATTCTGCTCTGGGGGCTCATCTTCACCGTGGGGGCCATTAGGGTCATGCAGGCTCTGCTGGGGCCCCGTCCCTCCCGGTCCCCCCCTCCAGCCAGGGAGGAGAAGCACAGGCCAGCAGCCAAGGACTCGGGAGTTGCCCCATCCCCCACCAACAGCAGCAGCGGTTCCCAGACGCCCCGGCGGAGAAAGTAGCATGTTCGGTCAGCCATGTGTCCCAGGTGGGCCCGGTCCCGGCTCGTCTCTGGCCTTCTGGAGCGGGACATGGCCCAGCCACCCGTGCCTTAGCCAGCTGTCCTGGCAGACGCAGGTTGGGGTGCTGGCCTCAGGGCACACTCTGGCTGCCCTGGTGCTTCAAGGGTCCACTTGTCCCCTGCCAACCATATCTCTGCTGGGGCCACCCTCTGCCTGGGCGTCAGCCCTGGATGTGGTGTGTGACCAGCTCAGGGTCCTTCCCAAGACGTTGTAATCAGGGCTGCGGGAGGTCAGAGTCTGATGGCCCAGCACCTGCACACGGGTAGAGGCCCGGAGGGTCATGCAGGTTCCGGAACCAATAAAGGCGGCTGTTTTTGACGTGTGCCTAACGTTTCCTCCCTACCATGGAGGCCTGAGGGCAGTGGCCCTCCCCGCCTCTGGCAGTGGACACAGCCCAGTGCTGCCCGGTATCACTGACCTGGCCTCTTGGATGTCTTCGCTCTCCTCAATGTTCCCCTCCATAAAGTGGACACAAGGACTGGCCTGGCCTCACTCGAGGCCCTGAGCCTCAGGCCCGCACAGTCTGGCCCACCTGTCAGCTCCACATATCAAGGCTTTGAGGCCAGTCACAGAATGCAAGGCCTGGAGCCACCTGAGGGCCAGAGAACTCCCCAGACCTGGCCCCTTCTCTCCTGCTCCCGCTTCCTCATCTCAGGAAGAGCTGAAGGGTCAGAGGCCTGGCGCAGGGGAGGGGCAGGCAGGTGGGTTTGCACCACAGGTGCCAGTGCCTGGTCAGGGAAGCACTGAGCAGGT